GTATATCGTGCGGAGAACTGGTTAAGGCACGCGTAGATGGGTCTTTAGCTTAGTCAGCGACGACGCTTAGTTCCGCCCATGATCGTCCTGATGCTTTATTGTCACTGTGCGGGTGGGTGACAGATGAAATAGTGCGATACATGCCGGGCAAGTCTTTTATTAATAAACTAATTCGCATGCAAGTCGCTATCCCTCACGCACTACACTGTGAGGCACACGATGGACATCGCTTTCGCAATGGTCAAACTGTTTTGTTCATGTGATAAAAAAGAAGAAAACGCGTAAATAAATTAACAAATTCTGCAAGATGCAGAGCGAATACAAGTTATCAGAAGTAGTGCTACGCGTCTCAGCGCCAGTTACCTGAAGGCAAACAGAATCCTGTGAAGAATGGACTCAGTTTCTTAGACTGTTTCGCTTAAGTGATCCTAGAGGTTATGGCCCAGTGGCCAGATAACTGCTCGGAGCTGTTGTTTTAACTGACGTTAAATGGTCCGCAACAGATCCCATACACTGTATGGCTGCCGAAACTTGAGATGTGTAAATGCGTGATGGATTGTCCAGTCATCTATTGTGCGCTATACTAACCTAGTGTTTTATGATATCTATCAACAGTGTCACTGATTGGCCGACGTACCGGTAATGCGTCATATATGCTGGCTATTCATTCTATCGATCCGTACTCTACCTTATTGACCCTTGCCTTGACAAAGATTTTATGAAGGTACGCAAAGACGCCATCACTTGCGGCTGGGTTTCTTTTTCTCTAAGAGAGTGTTTACACATACTTCATGTCGCTTTAAACTAGTTAATGGTACAGGTAGGACTGGCCACAAAAATTGCCGCGCCGATTCTCACTGATATATTAAAGACAACACATATGAAGACACGCCCTGCACGGTTGACAGAGATACAACAGTCATAAGAGGAATTTTGCCCCGGGGGTTCGTTACTTCATCATCAAATTCACCGACTGGACACATGAAGCATCCCTGTCTAAAGTTGACCATATGGTTCTAGGCCCAATGAACCATTCCAAATGCCATATGCAGTTTGAATTCGAAATGAAAAAAACGATTCTTTACTTAAATTAGATGACATACATATACTGGTCTCCTGTGCGGCGGCCAACAGAACCATGCACGGCACATGTATGTGCGGCTTAAGCCGCAATTGCTATTGACTTAAACTGGAATAATATTAATTTTAAAATGTACAGGTTGAAACATAAATAATTTCTCAGCTGTCAAAACACTGGCAAAGCTTAAAGTAAGCCAGTAGCGAATAGGGAGAACCATCGCAGTTAATGGCATTTAAGCCAGAAGTCAAAGTTCGACCAAGGCAAGACGCGCGATATTATTTGAGGTCAGTAAAACAATACAGCGAGTGGCAGGTGAAAATCTTGAGCTAGGGCGTTCACTGCACTCTCGGGTAAAAACAGTCAACAGTGAAGCGTAATTTTCCTTTAAATAAAGGCAGTTTTGGTTAAAGGAATACAGGGAGAGTATGACTAAACATTAGTCCACCGAGAACCATACGAACACTAAAAAAACTCACGAGTTTACTATCCAGATTATTTTCTTAGCCCAACGATAAATGAATGAATCATGAATGTTGACCAATCCAACTTCCAATCGTACCATGAAAATTTTCCTAGAACTAAGGTGTTTAACTATCCAATCATTAGAAATAGTTATTTGTCTTCCTTACTTTTACAGAAGTTGCACTGATTTCCACTTGCGGACTGCTAAGTGTTAAACGCTGAACGAGGGACTTGAAGTATTTAAGCAGGCAACTGTTTATGCTAGTTTGGCAAACTGATCTGCCCAAACATTTCATAATACAGTATTTTTATTCATTTTTTGCGCTAAATATGCGTGAGTCGGTAGTTTACTTGCAAAACAACATGGAGCGCAGTATTCACAAAAACCACAACATGTAACAATCTATAACCAATTCACCATCGTTCCGGCGCATTTTTGAAAACAGATCTCTCAAGGTTCCTTGTACAGCTTTTTGTAAATTGTCATACAACAACATCTACGGATGCGTGCATTCCATGAGCTGAACACTCTGTGGAAGAAAGGGACCTCGTGCACATCCAGGCTTGCATGCTAAACATACAGTTTTAATGGTTGAACTCAGGGAAATTCCAAAAGTCACCCAAAGCTAGGTATAAATCTATTTACTTCACAGTGCGGAATGCTTCTAAGAGATCCTCCCGCATTCTCCTATAACCCAAAGTAAAGAAATCAAGGACAGTTGAGCGGGTTGTAAATCAGTCAGTAATTTTGGAGTAAATGACAGAAACCCTTAAAAAAGCCACTGAAATGGTATAGGAATGCATAAAGTGAAGTAAAGTCTGCAAAAATTGTTAAAGGTCACTTCTGTTAGACGAAAGTGCATAAAACATTTAGGAAAAATGAATGGTTGACAAGGTGAGGCGTCGGCGCAGTAGCAGCGTACAATACATTCACTATATATTCAATAAGACATACAGTAGTCGCCGGTTATTGAGCCCACGGTTAATAAGCCTAGCCACTTTTTAAGCCCAATTTGGTCTGGGCCCGAAGTGGGCGTAATAACCGGCGACTACTGTATTAAGCCCACGCTTAATAAGCCCAGCCGCTTATTACGCCCAATTTAGTCTGGGCTCGAAGTAAGCGACTACTATATTCGTCTGGACTACCTTTAGTGCATATAAAGTTCTACTGAAATCAAGAGAGTAGAATGTTTGTATTTATTTCTGTTAAGTGAGTGTTTGAATGTTTGCGTTGGCATGTAACATATGATTATCCAGACTTCTCGTGAACACATTCACAGTGGGTGAATGCACAACAGACTGTAGCAAGGAGGTTCACGGCTGAATGAGTTTTTAAGAGAAGAAGGACGAACGTTGTTTTGTACGGCTCATTTCCTTCTTCAACTGGCAATCGTGTCTTCTGAGATTCTTTCTTGGGGTCGTTTGAAAGAGATCCTTCCACTTGACATTCAGACAATTTCCTCTTATTAACTAAAACGTTACTATAAAGTCATCTATGTCTTGTATATAATGGAGAGGAAAGAAATTTAAAGGAAACTTTGTTCGAATGTAAACTGCTAAAAAATTTTTCTTTCTATTTCTATTAAAACTTTATGAAACAGCAAATATACTATATGCATAGAAAATTGTCTAGCATAACAATGAGATAAAACTATAAAAGTGGAAAAGACGATAATTTACACAAAAAACATAAACATCAAACAAACAAAAACGATTCCGCAGCCATTCAAATTATACCATACAAATATGCGTAAAAAGTTTGAGGAGAAAGTAAAAGTGTCTTTTAGTCCTGTAAGACAGCCGGGGGACGAAACGAGGTACTGCTGATTCGGATTGCAAAGCTCACGGTGTTTTTCAGGGTAAACAAGGGCAAAAGGCATTTGCATTCACAAACGGACGATTGAAGTGTAAACGACAGTTAAAATCACAAAACGGATCATAT